AGGGCTGAGGCCACCGGGGTCTGGGATCCTGGAGGGCTCATGACTACCCCAATCCCTCATGTCTACCCCAATCTCGCTGACCCAGGGGACAGCCATCTTTGTGTGCCAAGCTGAGAGTGAGGAGAAAAGGACACAAGACCTGTCTTCAGGGACTTCCGCTCTGATAGACAAGATACAGATAGGTAGACAGGGTATGAGAGCTCTGTGTGTGGGTGTGAGAGCAATTCGTACCAAAGCAGGCGCAGGGCTTCAGGTCTGATGCGGACTCTTGGCTCCTACTTGAGCAAACCCTGAATCTGAGAGGTAAAGTGGAGCGCGCATATATAAACCTCCACACGTACCTACATCTTACAAAATGACAGCAACGAGGGCAAATCAGTCGTGGCTGGGGTGGAGGGGCCCACAGGGCTGGACTGACAGATGTTACAGTAGCGACCTCAGGGTCACGGGGGCCCAAAAGATAAGGCTTCCTGGAGAAAGCGAGTGTGGATGGAAGAGGGTTTGGGAAGAGAGGGGAGAGAGGAGGAGCTGGCTGGGCAAGGGGGAGAAACAGGGAGAAAATGGCCCTTCGAAGACCTAACACTTGCAAGGGAGAGCAGGCCCAGGAGGTGGGAGAAAGGGCAAGGCCCAAGGCAGCTGCACAGGTCTGGGGCCTTGGCTCGGCAGGCAGGCAGAGATGGCGGCCCAGATAACCTGCCTGTGAGGAGACAACACGACAGAAGCCACAGGACCTAACCACTCACAAACAGGAAGTCAGACGGCCGAGCAGGCCCGCCCTCAGGGGAGCAAGGGCTGGGGGCATGCCTGGCTACAAAGGAGGGAAACTGAGCCCCCAGCATGGCAGCATGGGGCTCAAGACAATTGGGGTCAAGAGTCCCAAATGCTAGGACCTTTCAGCACTCTCCCTGGAAGGGCCACTAAAGGAAGCGGGGTCTGAGAAAAGAAAGTGCCTCAAGAACCCAAGGTGGTGCTCGTCCTTGCAGAGGTCAACTCGGCACCGAAGCAGGTCCCCTGACTCATCTCAGAGCCTTGGGGAGCACCCGTCATGCCGAGAGGCCTCCAGACAAGGAGGGTGGGCGCATTATCCCCTCCGCCCTGTCCACACTGCCCAGGCATCCTGCAGGTTCAAGGCCATGCTTTCCTGCTCTGCTGGGATGAGAGGCAGCTGCAGTGCACCCCGGGAGGCCGGCCCTGCCCTAGGACAGGGTTCGGGCTCAGCTCTCCAGACCACAGTCCTGAAGGCCTTTTAAGCGGCAAGCTCAGGGGGTAGTAACCTGGCCTGAGCCAGGAAGCTGATCTGCAAGCCCAGAGAGAGGCAGAAGGCAGCCTGAGGTCACAATGCAAGTGAAAGCCAAGTTCAGGGTTTTGTCCATAGCATCTGGGAAGAGGCAGGATGGGCTGGGTAGGAAAGGGGGTGTGGGTGTGAGGAAGAGAGTCACCCCGACAACTGCTGTGGGAGTGGCCACGAAACCAGATGGCCACTGGGATCTCCCAGGGACACGAGCGGGAAAAGTGCCCTCCTGGCTCTCTGAAGCAAAGGTGCTTGGTTTAACCTGCCGCGTCTGCTCCAGCTTTAACAGCTGTGAATGAACTCTGTGTTTATTGTATGTGTGTGTCCCACGAGCTGGGGCCTGGTCCCTGCCTGGAAACCACTATGATCTCTCATCAGCTTAACTCCCTACCCCAACATCAGGACCACCGAACAGAAGGCAAAAACCAGGAGGCGGGAGACAAGCGGCCCAGCCCCCCACACTGTGGCTGTTCACAGTATGACTTTGGACCACTCACAGAATCTGACCCCCAACCCGCAGCCTTTGCTTTTTTCACCTATAAAACTGAGGAGGAGGTTGACCAAGGACCTGGGAAGTTCCCAAGAGCGAGGGGCCCTAGGAGCCTTGGAGGAGGAAGCAGAAAAGGTCTGTGTTCCGAGACCTGCCCAGCTCCTGGGCAGCTGACGGATTTCCCCAGCCAGCTCAAGAGCACAGCTCCCGTTGCTCAGAGAAGGCAGGTGGCTGGGAAAGGATCGAGAGCAGAATCCTCCCCTTAGTTTGGCTGGGAACAAGGGACAAAAGGCTGGGGGCACTCCTTGGTCTATCTCTCCCCTCCTGCCAGCATTCTGCACCCCCCACAGGATCCCTCACACGCCAGGGACAGCTGGGGAGGCCGGGTGAGGGCTGCCCCGTCAACTGCTCTGGGCTCAGTTGCTTCATTCACCCCCCTGTGTTGCGCACGCCGAGCTGGGGGAAGGGCAGCAGCTGAGGCCTCTAGAGACCTTAATAAAACACATTCAATCTGAATCTCATCTGATCAGCACGCTGAGCCCGTGATGTAAATGATGGCATCCCCGTCTCAGAGATGAAGAACCGGAAACTCCACAGCGTTAAGTTTCACCTTCCTGAAAACCAGCCAACAGTCTGCTTCCCGGTTCTGTCGCCCCTAAGGAACTCAATTCAAAGTGCCCCCGAAAAGAAGCAGACCTCAGAGAGGTTACCCAACAGAGAGGGGAGCTGTGGCCTACAGCTGCTCACAGACCCGGCCGGAAAAGGGGGTTGGAAAGGGCCGTGGGCGGAACTCGGGTGCACCCTGCTGCCCGGGCTTGCGGGCGAGGCACTGGGCTCCGAGTGGGTGACCAAGTGGTGTGCAGGATCTCTCCAACAGCAAATGCCATCCCGGCCCCCGCCCCCAGCCCCTTCCCTCGGAGCCCATTAGGCAGTCAGATGAGGGAGAGCTGGCCACGAAGTCTGGGGGCCCCCAGCAGCCACAGCAGCAGCTCACAGCCCTGGAGCCGTTAAAAAATGACTCAACCAGAAAGTGCGTTTGAAGCGCCGCCTGCCAGGGCCCCAGAGCCAAACCTCAAAAAGACGAAGTGAGAGAGAAGAGCCTGCGGGGGGCCGGGCGGGGGTGGAGGAGGCCCGGCCACGAGCCGGCCTGGCCAAATAAGGGCAAATGCTCCCAGGCTGACCAATGGGGCGCCTGCAGCCGCGTCGTGGGGCTGGACGGGCAGGGTGAGAGGCCTGGGGCAAAACGGGAGCTGGGGACTGGGGCAGGGCCCAGGCCCTCCGCAGGGTCCGAGGATGAGTGAGCACCGCGAGGTGTCGAAGCCCTCATCCCCAAAGACCTGGTCCTGAGGTCAGTAGACCCGTACCCCCGAAAGCCCCACCTCCAGGCTGGGGCTCAAGGGGGCAAAGGGAAGACAAGGAGGACCCCCTCACCCCTACCCCAGTTATGGGCCCTAGATCCCCGTCTGCCACAGCAGAAATCAAGGGAGGCCATAAGGACTGCTGGGCTGACACACCAGTGTAGTTTTGTCTGGCTACTGACCTTGGGCAAGGGATAGAACTGAAACTGTCTTCTCATCCGTGAAAGGGGACTAGTACCTCACAGGTGGTACCGAGGAGTGGATTCAATCATGAAAGTGGCCAGTTTTGAACCTGGTAATTGCCATACTGACGCAGTAAATTATTAGAAGCCCAGGGACAGCTTCTCACTCCTATTCTTGCCTCCCAATTCCTGTGAATGGGCCCTTTACAAGGACACCGTGTGGTTCTCAGTCGTGGCCCCTGGTGTCTACAGCAGGGGAGGGAAGATGTGGACATCAGAGGGGTCCTTCTAATCTGAGTCCAGTCCCTCCTGCTGCAGAAGCTGAATAGACACTTTGCTCAGCCTCAGTCACCAGAGACGCGATGTGCCCACCTTGACCACCTCAGCCAGGCGCCTCTGAGCTCCGCACCCCGCGCCCACCTCCCGGCTCCCCTGGGGTGCAGGGCGGAAGAAGTGAGTCTATTCAGCTGCCCAGAGAAAGGGCCAGCGTCCCAGAGGCCAGCACAGGCTTCTCCGGGACCTGTGTCAGCCCCTTGCCTCAGGCCTTCCCAGCCTTGGCTGGGATCCCCCTGCCCAGGAGGAGAGCTGATCAATGGCTGCCAGATTCTTCCCCTCTGGGGGGCCCTTCTCTGTTCCCAGCACCGATTTGCATTCCCCCCTCTGCCCTCTGCTCCTCAAGCCCTCAGGGACCAGGTGACAGTTAAACCCCTTCCTCAGGCTGGTGGCCCCAGAGCACTCACTTCCTTCCAGGTATTTTCCGGCATGGGGGGAGGGGTTGAAAGGGTGGCAATGGCTGGTGGTGGGGAAGAATGAGGAATCCATTTGGGAGAGACACTGCGGTCCCTCCACCCTGGTGTCTGAAGCTGTTGCTTACCTTCCCTCAAGTTCTCTCTTTGGCACAAGAGCTCAGGGTGGAGGAAGGAGAGTGCACAGGCAGGAAGAAGCACATAGGAGCTCTTGAAATGGGCCTGCCAGGCCCCTGACTTCTTACAGGCCCAGGCCTCCATCCCCCCAAGTCCTCTGTCCATGACCCCGTAATGCCTGCCCTCCACTCTGGGGGGAACGTTGAGAATCGGAGTGCCAGAGGTCTGCAGGAGAGAGGTTTTCTGTCACATTTCGCAGAGGATCGGGCAGCTTGGTGCTGGAGCCCTCAGTTTTCTCTGCCCTTGGTTCCTGCTCTCTGGGATCTTAAAGCAAAGAGAAACCCAAGCATCTCTCAGCAGAAAGCACCAGGCCGGGTAGTGTAGGACAAATAAAGTAGCAGTGACCCCTTTGGGATCAGGCTGACCACTGCCTCTGGTGCTCAGTCTTCTCACCCATAAGGAGGGGGCGCTGGCCTAAGTCATGACTCTCCCAGCCTTCACACTCTGTATGATCTGCTGTCACTCTACAGCCCCAACACTCTCGTGAAGGCCTCTGTGCCCCAAAGGCCCAGGCAGGCAGCCACGTGCTTTCTTCCTCAGTCTACGCCTTACTGGCTCACCCTAGAGCAACCTTTACCAGGTGTGGCTATATCTGTTCTCCTAGCTCAAACGAGACTGGAGGGGGGACAGCCACACATGGGCAGCAGAAGTGACAGGCTGACATGAATCCAAGAGGTAGAAAAACAATCAGTCCCAGAACCACTTCACCACATGATATAAAAATGGAGGTTTCTAACAATGACACTGAGCCAAGTAGAGGTTAAATCACATCCAGAATCTTGTTTCCAAATAGCAAGGAAGTACATATTAGAAAACAACAACAACAACATATGTCATAAAAAAACAAGAGAACAGAGAGATTAAAATTAAAAGCCACGGTGCTTAAAGGAAAATGTGTCCATTGTGATGTATTTCTGTATGATAGATGTATTGGAACATCCATTGTCCAACAATACTATAGGGATGCCATTCTTGCTACACTTACCTAGAACTTATCTAGAGGTGGACAACTTTGGATAAATGTGATTCCCTAGATACACGTAATAGTGTACAGCTCTCCGATTGCTTTTACATAAACTAATGTATTTCTCACAACGATCCCAAGACAGGACCGCTGTGTCTTTAAGTGAACTTTCTATTTGAGGTTAGCATACAAATAGAAAAGTGAGCAAATCGTGAGTGTATAACTCAATAAATCTTCAGAAAGTGAACGAACCTCTGTACCTGGCATCCAGAGCAAGAAACAGACTATAACCTCAGGATCCCCTCATATCTCCTTTTCCACCCCCACCCGTCACGGGTAGCCACTATCCTGCAGAGTTTTGTCAGCTGCATTTTATAGGGAGGAAACTGTTTTAGAGCAGTAAAGTGACTGGGAGGCAGGGGCAATGCCCCTAATTGGATATGTATGTATATTTTCATCACAAGTCTGTGTTCCAGTGGAGTGTGAAGGTGCCATAATTGGGCTGCAAAAGGTGGTGAGTAGGAAAAAAACAGAAGAGGTTGGGGAGTACGGGGCACAGGTCAGCAGATACCTAAGAACTGCTAGAGTAGAAAAGAAGATGCCGCCAGGTGGGAACTAGAGGAGGGCTGGACCAGTTTCCCAATGTCCTGCATGGGGATCCTTGAGTAAATCCCAAGGATCACCTCCCTGGACCCTTTCCCCACACTGTCGACCTCTCTTTGGGTAATTGTGGACTTGGGGACTAGAGATGTAAGTGGTAGGCATAGGGTGTTCGGGGGACTCAGTGTATAGGGACATGTAACTCTCACTCAGCAATAAACTAACGCCTCATGCTGGTTCTGTGGAATCCTCACGAAGGGAGCAAGCCCACCGCATCCGGGGATAACTATGTTGGAAGAAGTTAGCAGCCCCAGATTGGGTGTGAGCAACGTATTTCTTGATTTCAGGCTCTACTTCTTGATCATGGCCAAATCACTTTAACTTTGACCCTCAGTCTCTTCACTCCGTAAGGATGTTGACTATGACGTAGGGGTTTTGTGAGGATCAAATAAGATAATGGACATGAAAGCCCTTTTGTCAACTGTAAAATGCCATTTAAATGAAAGGTTTTACTGATAAACATGAAGCAGACTTCCAAAGTAAGATACTAGTCTGTTCTTCAACATTACCTACCTGTCTCTTACACACACTCACAGGATCAGGTGTCAGGGAGGGTACATGAGGATTGAATGGCAGGTCATAGACAGGCCTGGAGTGAGAAGGTAGTGGCCATGCCCAGAGGAAACGAGGCCAAACCTAAAGCGCCCAGCCTGAGCTTACTCCTCCCCAGCTCATCCCCATTACTCTTCTGAAACAGCTTCCCTCCAAAACCAGAATGTTCCATCAGCCATCAATCACTGCCCAGGAATGGAGGCTGCATTCAGCAATGAACTGCCACGGAGTGTGTTTTTTAACCCCACGGGCAGTGGTGGGTAAGAAGAAGAGAATGAGGAATAAGCAGACAAGGGGAAGGCAGCCCGGTCACTAGCCTGACTCGCAGCTGTCATTGTGGAACTAGGGAGGAGGAGCCTTGCCTTTCTGAGGTGCAGAAGCCAAACGACTGAGCAGGAGACCAAGACCCTGGGTAGATGTGGGGCCTCCGTGGTCAGACCGGGCCTGAACGTCTGACAGGCACAAGGAGCAGGGCATGGCCCTCAGGGACGTGCCACGCAGGGCAGTGGCAGCCGAGACCTCCTCGTCCATATCGCTCCGCCTCCTCACGGGGAGCCGTGAAGAACCAGCAGCCCCTCCTTCAGTCTCTTCGGGCTCCCCACACCAGGTGGACTCTAGCACCTTACGGCCCGTCTGGGCTGCCGAGCGGCACCAGAGCAGCTTCCAGGACCAGAAAAAGCCAGAAAGCGAACCGAGGGGCGGCTTCCAGGCCGAGCCCACTTGGCACCGAGTCTGTGAAATCCGGTGCCGCCGACTGGGCACCCCTCCCCCACAACCAGCGGGCCCGTGTCTTTCGCTTCCTGCGAGGCTAACAGTTAGGGCTCAGCTCAGCGCCGACGCAGCCTGTGTGGTTACTTGCGCACAGCTCCTCTTGCCTCCCCTCCCCACAACTGTTTCCATTCTCACCGAGCAGCCACGTCCGGGTCAGACACGCAGGACAGCAGCTGGGGATTTCCAAGGGACTTTTTGAGAAAAGCCAGTGAAAGTGGGGTGTTGGCTGCCTGGCCTAGGCACTCTTGCCGAAACCCGCTTCTTCCCTCCAGAACCTTCCCTCCAGAACGTAAGGCTGGCCTGCTGGGGCTACTTCCCGAGGATCCTTTCAGATTGAAATTGAACAGAAACCACCACCCCTTGTGCTCTTTCAGTTTGCTGGGCTGAGGAAAGCCTTTAAAAACTCAGCTGAAACTGGGGCTGATGGACCATTCCCTCAGAGCTTGAAGGTTCTGGTTTGAGGAGGATCTGTGAGTGACATGAGCATCCTGGGCCACTCCCTGCTTCCTTCCTATGGGCCTATGAGCGTACAAGGACAGGGGTGGGAGGGGGTCACGGGAGAATCAGCACCTCTCCCTCCTTCCCACACACTCCAGGCCACAGGTAACAGGGACACTGACTCACTAGCAACACCAGGTGGCGAAGAGACACAAAGCCCTAGTGTACACACCTCTGCTAACGAGTCGAGCTCATTCTGCAGTGCTGATTCTGGGCATTTCTCCCACTGTTTGGTTAACCGTGCACATACTGTAAAGAATAGCTAATAAAGGGGCGCCTGGGTGGCTCAGTCGGTTAAGCGACTGCCTTCGGCTCAGGTCATGATCCTGGAGTCCCGGGATCGAGTCCCGCATCGGGCTCCCTGCTCAGCGGGGAGCCTGCTTCTCCCTCTCCCACTCCCCCCCCTCATGTACTCCCTCTCATTCTTGCTCTGTCAAATAAATCCTAAAAAAAAAAAAAAAAAATTAAAAAAAAAAAATAGCTAATAAAGGGGCGCCTGGGTGGCTCAGTCGTTAACCATCGGCCTTCGGCTCAGGTCATGATCCCAGGGTCCTGGGATCGAGCCCCGCATCGGGCTCCCTGCTTGACGGGAAGCCTGCTCATCCCTCTCCCACTCCCCCTGCTTGTGTTCCCTCTCTCACTGTCTGTCAAATACATAAATAAAATCTTTAAAAAAAAAAAAAAAAAGAATGGCTAATAAAAAGAGTAAATGAATTTTACTTTTCATAAAACCTAAGTTCTAGAATTTTCACATTGCTTCGTTTTTATAATCAATACTAAGGTAAACAGGCAGTGTTATCGTTGTTTTATAGATGGAGAACAAGAAACCTAGAAAATCAATATGGGGATATTAATAGGATTCTTTGTGGAGATTTAAGTAAGAAAGAATTTCTGGTAAATTTTTCATTCTAAAACAACTCACCTTGACCAATAACCTGATATCAAAACCCCCTACTAGGCCAGAGGGGGAAAGGAGTTTATGCCCTACAAAGGCATAATCTAACCGGATGAAGGCCCAGCAGCCACCTGAGGGTCTCCAGTTAGAGGAAATGCAGCAGAATGTGTGTAGGTGGGTAAGCGAGGGTCATGAATACCACTGACTGGCCTAAGACAGAGGAAGAGTGGTAAAAAGAAGAAAAAAAGGGAGAGGGGGGAAGAGTATTAAATATGGTCAACAGGCAAAGAATACTGAGAAGCCTCAGGCTTTCTTTCAAAAGACACTTGCTGTGCCAGGTCTAGAGCAAGTCTGCAACCCCCAGACACCGGGACTACCAGCTTGATGGGGCTGCCTAGACTCAGGACAGCAGACCTTCCAACAAGACCCAAGGAAGCACACTGGAAAGGCTGTAACCCCGGAAGGCTGAAAGATGGGTAACGGGGAGCAGGAGGGCCTCTACTGCTCCGGGAAAGTGCTTACAGGGTTAAGTGAGTTCTTCCTGTGTCCAGGTAGAAAAGAGGCAAGGCATCTGTCATGGGCTTAAGAACTTTCCTAGGGGTTCACGTTTATTTGGCATTTGACCCAGAGTCCTACCCATGGGCAAGGGCACAGACTGGGTCTCCTACCCCCCATTCAATTCAGTCTCTGTTAATCCACCAGCCCAAACCCCCCACCCCCAGCCCCAGCCCCAGCAGCAATCCAAAGGTAAAATGGCTCAGAGACACGCTGTGGTCTCTCAACAGTCCGCCGAGTCTCAGAGTTGGAGGGTGGGGAGTATCTGAAGTTCTGTCCATTTAGTTCCGTAACAAAAAATTAGCAGATGCAGGAGGTGGGGAGGAAAGACAATGGTAGCCATGCATCTTGCTAGGTCTTTATAGCTGTGTCTCTGGATTTGTAGGCCACTCCTCGACTTTTCAGCTCTCGCACGATTCCTGCCACAGGAAAAGAAAGCTCTGTGAGGGAGGAAGATCCCAGAAGTTAAGAAAGGTCCCTCTAGGGCGCCTGGGTGGCTCAGTTGGTTAAGCGACTGCCTTCGGCTCAGGTCATGATCCTGGAGTCCCGGGATCGAGTCCCGCATCGGGCTCCCTGCTCGGCGGGGAGCCTGCTTCTCCCTCTGACCCTCCCCCCACTCATGTGCTCTCTGTCTCTCTCATTCTGTCTCAAATAAATAAATAAAATCTTTAAAAAAAAAAAAAAAAAAAGAAAGGTCCCTCTACTACCACTTTGGTGGGGGACAGGAAAGGGAGGAAGGAAGGAAGCTGTTCCTAAGCAAACTGGAGTTCCTACACAGCTCATCAATAGTCCTGCTTGGTTGGCTGGTTACCACTGAAGATCTAGGCACGTGTCTGGTAATGATTTGGCAAGAACGAGAAGGAAAAGACTACGCGTCGTAGTCGCTAAAACCAAGGGTTCTGGGGTCAAAATGACTGGGTTCAAATTCTAGCTCCTCACTTACTAGCAGGATGACCTTAGGCAAGGTATTTAACCTCTTTGTGCCTCAGTTCCCTCAGAGCGGTGAGGACCGGCGTGCAGTCCCACAAAGGACTTCCAGAGAGCTTGGTGCGATAAGTGAAGACTGGCCACTACTATGATGATTATTACCTTGGGGAAGGCGACCAGTGACTGACACTGCATAAACACCCGGCTTAAAGTTACCTATGAGAGAAGAAGAGAGACGGCAGTGAGAGTGTGTTAAGTGTAATGACCAAATGGAGGTTTAAGCTAAAAATGAAAGGAATGCTGCAACTCTAAGACAAGAACAATCACTTCTTTGGCTCCGGTATCAAACGACACAGGCACAAACGGGCACAGGACACTTTCCTCATGTTTCCTACAACCCCATCTGTTTCACTCTGCGGTCACTTACCCTCTGATCTAAGACATCCCCACTAAACCCGAGGGGCAGCAACAACACAACTCGGCCGGGACAAAGAGAAAGGGAGATACTTACTGACTCGCTGCCACTTGGAGACCCAGCTGTCCTCTGGACTCATCATCGCAATGATTCTGGGAAGGGAAAAGAAACAGAGAGTCAGCCTGAGCTTCCCCTACTAGAGAAGAGAGAGATGGAGGAAAATGCCCACTTTACTCTGCTTTCAGCCAGCAAGATAGTTCTGGGAGAGGAAACACAGGAAAAAGCCAAGTATTGAGTTCTACTAGAAAGCAGGGGAAATGGACTACTAATGCTGAGAAGGGGCTGACCCAAAGTTAGTCCCAACAAAGGTTCTCTGCCCGCCAAGCACAGGTCAGTCACCATTCCCAAAGGACTAGCTCATCTGGCTCAAAAAACATCCTTAGCCCAGATTCTCTGGGAAACAGGACAGCTTTAAAAGTAGATGGCCAGGGGCGCCTGGGTGGCTCAGATGGTTAAGCGTCTGCCTTCGCTCAGGTCATGATTCCAGGGTCCTGGGATCGAGCCCCACATCGGGCTCCTGTCTCAGCAGGGAGCCTGCTTCTCCTTCTCCCTCTGCCTCTCTCCCTGCTCATGCTCTCCCTCTGTATCTGTGTCTCAAATGAATAAATAAAATCTTAAAAAAAAAAAAAAAAAAAGTAGATGGCCAGTGTTACTAATTACAAGCAACACGACCACTAGGGGGCTGGGCCCTGGTGCAAAGGGGGAGGAGGAGGGTGAAGGAAACCATGGGTCCTCCTACCAGAACTCAGTCAGACTTGGCCAAGGCCTGCCTCTGATGAGTGTACAGCCTAATGCACGCATGGAGACCTCTCTCAGAATTGTGCGGAATGAAACTCAAATACTGAGCTAATACATGCCAAACACCTGGCACAGAGTAAGTGCTAGCTACGGAAGCATTCGCTGTCCTTACTTATATCTTAGTAGTTCTTCCCAGGAGAGCTCTGATCCCAGGGCACGGGCAACAGAAAGGCCCCGTGAGGGCTAGAAGGCTGCCACTAGAGCTTGACAGGTCAACGTCAGGAACTTTGAGAAGCGACAGAGGTCATTTCTGTCATTCATTCAATCAAATGCTTGCCTGCCTGCCGTGACAGGTCTGTCCCAGACACCGACTTCTGTCAATAACCACTCCCTCTTCTCCTGGCAACAACCTGGGATTCTTACTTGGGGAGCCTCCCTCCCCATCCAAATCCTACATTCTCAGCCATCTGCTGGGAGTGGAACTGCCCCCACCCTCCCCGGTGGTTAAGTAGGGGAACCCCTGCCCTGGCCTGGCAGACTGACCGGGGGCAGGCACACACACACAGGCTGTTGTCTGGACCAACAGTATGGTCTCTTCTGTTCTTCACAAGCAATCTTTCTAGCCTTATAGTGCCTGTCACCCAACCTTATGATTTAACCTCAACAGAATCCCTACCAACCTCCAGACAGCCTGGTCTTCCCACCCCATGACTCTACTCAAGTCATTTCCTTGTTTAGAATCCTTTTTCTAAAATGCTCTCTCACCTCAACCTCCTCAAAAATCCTGTACTTCTTTCTTTCAGAGCCTGATTCACATGGTATCTCCTCTGCTTCTAGCTGAGTTCATCTGGCCCTCCTCTGGTCTCCTTTAGCCCTTGATATACCCATTCTCCAAAATCTAATATCCACCAGAATACACAAATAACTCTTAGAACTCAAGAACAGAAAGTCAAATAACCTACTTCGAAAGTGGGCAAAGGATTTGAACAGACATTTTTCTGAAGAAGATACACAAATGGTCAATAAGCACATAAAAAGATGCTTAACATCACTAATCATTAGGGAAAGGTAATCAAAACCAAAACAATACCACTTCATGTCCAATAGGGTAGCTACTATCAAAACCAAAACAAAACATAAAACAAAAAATAACAAGCGCTGGCAGGGGTGTGGAGAAACTGGAACCCCTGCATACTGCTGGTGGGAACAGAAAACAGTGCTGCCACTACGAAAAACAGTATGGCAGTTCCCCTAAATATTAAACAGAATGACTCAAGCAATTCCACTTCTAGATATATACCCTAAAGAAGTGAAAGCAGGGACTTGATCAAATATTGGTAAAACCTGTGTTCACAGCAGCATTATTCCTAACAGCCAAAAGATAGAAGCAACCTAAGAGTCTATCGACAGGTGAGTGGATAAATGATTATTCAGCTTAAAAGAAAAATTTGGACGCATGTGACAATATGGATAAACCTTAAAGACATGATGGTAAATTAACGAGCCAGGCACAAAAGGACAAATATTGTTTGAGTCCACTTATATGAAGCACTTATATTACACTTCAAATTCATACAGCAAGAGGGGCCCCTGGGTGCCAGGTGGCTCAGTCGGTTAAGCATCTGCCTTTGGCTCAGGTCGTGATCCCAGGGTCCTAGGATCCAGCCCCATGTTGGGCTCCCTCCTCAGCTTCTCCCTCTGCCACTCCCGCTGCTTGTGCTCTCTCGCTCTCTGTCAAATAAATAAATAAAATCTTAAACAAAACAAAACAAAAACCACAAGAAATTCATACAGAAAGAAAGTAGAATGGTAGCTGCCAGCGGCAGTGGGGAGGGGAAAATAAGATGAAGAGAGTTCTGGAGATGGATGGTAGTGATGGCTGCACAACGTGAATATACTAAATACCACTGAATTCTACACTTAAAAATGGCAAATTTTCAGGGGCGCCTGAGTGGCTCAGTCAGTTAGGCGTCTGCCTTCGGCTAAGGTCATGATCCTAGGGTCCTGGGATCGAGCCCCATGTCAGGCTCCCTGCTCAGTGGAGAGTGTGCTTCTCCCTCTCCCTCCGCCCTGCTTGTGCTCTCTCTGTCTCTCAAATAAATAAAAATTTTTTAAAAAGTTAATTTTCTGTCACACATATTTTGCCACAATTTTTTTTAAAACTCTAATATGCAAAACTTTACACTGTGTCTCTTACTAGTAAGTACATCACTGTGTAACTCTTGACATCCCTGACAGCAGCCAACACAGTCGTTTACCATAGATGGGAGTCCCTTTATTCATTTGTTAGCAATTCTGTTACAGTGCTAACAAATCAACAAAGGTACTGGAGTATCTGACTGTGCACATGCATGTGTAGGAAGTAAGGTTCCTTGGCAACATCTTTTTTGCCCAATCCTTCATTCTTCCTTAAAGGAAGTCAAAGAAGGAATGGATGTAGGTGGCCTCACCTTGAAGGAAGTTTACTAAGTACTGGGTTTGAGCCCAGTTTGTGTGTAAATCTTTTTTAAAAAAGATTTATTTATTTGAGAGAGAGAAAGAGTGTGCAGGGGGAGGGGGAAAGGGAGAGAATCTCAATCAGACTTCCTGCTGAGCGTGGAGCCCAACGTGGGGCTCAATCTCACTACCCTGAGATCATAACCTGAACTGAAATCAAGAATTGGACACTTAACTGACTAAGCCACCCAGGCACCCCTGTGTGTAAACCCTTAATTGGCCTAGAGGCCAAAAGACACAGTATCTCCTTAACCCCCAAAGAATACTACCCTCTGGCTCCTATGTTGGGGAAAAAAAACTGAGACCTGGTCACTTATGTTACTCTCATTTCTCCTTCTCCCCATTGGACAATCTCACCAAGGGAAAACTTTTCTTATGGGGTCTCTTAGAAATATCTAACAGCATCAGCTTTCAGCTTTCAGCTTTACCATTACTGTACCTTACCTTACCTTCACTTTCAGAAAGGATCTTCATGCATTTAACAAACATTTCTTAGCCCTCTGCCACCTTCCAGACCCTGTGCCAAACCAGTGTGCACAAGATAAACACAGTCCCTACCATTAATGAGCTGACAGTCTAATGAAGAACTGTCCAGCAGAAATAAAATAAAAACCACCCAAGTCATTTAAAATTTTCTAATAGCCACGTTTATGAGTAGAGACAAAAGGATGAAATTAATTTCAATAACATATTCATTTAACCCAGTATACCCAAAGAATTATCATCTAGGTATATAATTAATATTAAAAAAATTAAAGTATTTTACATTCTTTTTCCTGTTCTAAATCTTGTCAATCCAGTGTATATTTTACAGTTAGAGCATAACACAGTTTGGACTAGCCACATTTCAAGTGCTCAATGCCAGACATGGCCAGTGGCTACTGTATTGGACAGCACCAGGACTAGTGTGTGTCAAAATAACTGAGAACAACCAGGATCATGGTCTGCCTCACATTTACTAGGTGGGGTGGGGTGGGGTGGGGTGGGGTGGGAGTAACGGGAAAGTGAATGAAGGAATCTAAAGGGGCTTACCCGTCAAAGGAAGAGCTGGTGCAGTCATATACCATCTCCCGGTTACCCTTCATCTGAAGGTATGCATCACAATTGTCACAACCATCATACTCAAACTGGTCTATAGTCTGGGAGGGGGGGGAAAGGGGGATAGGGGTGAGTGTAAACAAGGCCAAAAGAATAACTAGCTCTCTCCATATTTCTACCTGGTCAAGTAGAAGGCTCCCTATGCTGGCTCTGTCTCATCAGGTTCCCCACGCACCACTCCCACAGCTCCATTCCTAAAGTTCCACCCACCCTCACAGTCCTCCCTCTTGTTCCTAACTGCGTTTTACCTAGTCCTCTCCCTAGTCTCCTCAGGGCCAGGCATCCTCTCCGACTACTCCCCCTCAGCTGCAGATCCCCACCCTCATCTGACTCCCAGTGGCCTTCGGCTTCAACAGAAGTTCGCTGAACGTCTGTTAAGGATCAGACCTGTGCTAGCTGAGGATTCAAAGGCATGTAAAGACTGCCTGCGCTCCTAGAGACTTAAACAATGGCCCCCAGCAGCTTCCCACACCCCTCGCCAAACCCGGGGTCCTGGACCTTAATTTTCTCTTCGCTATCCCCCAGCCCCGTTCCACCTTTTCCCCCACCTGGATTCCCCCATCGCCCCTACAACCAGCTCCCAGAAGGACACCTTGACCAGCGAACACAGCAAACAAGCCCGCAGATGCCGCAGGTCCTTCGGCACCGTCTCCAGGGCCATCCTCTCCGACAAAAGAACAGCAAAGGACGGGGCCACGGATTCCTCAGCCGCAGGAAGTAAACAGCGAATTACCCAGAATGCCTTCCACTTCCGGTGCCTAGGACTTCCTCTTCCGGTGTGGGAAGCCACAGGGCCCAGCCCTCCCTTCCCACACCCTCCCCCCTCCCGCCTAAGGAGATGGTTTCTCCCGCCTGGAGGCGGGGCCGGCCGGGAGTCACCTGGGCCGGCGCGCGCACCCGCCACCTGGGCCGGCGCGAGGGCGAGGCCGTGGCGGCCGTTGGGCCTGTGGGCAGGGCCGTGGGGGAGGGGCGGCGCGGCTGGCGCCTGCGCGAGAACGCGCCGCGGCCGGAGCCGGAAGCCCGGCGGGGCGGGCCGTTTGATGTAGGCCGCTGGCAACCGGCCGCCGGTCCTCTTAGGAGGATCCCAGATGCCAGCCGAGATTGTTTTTTGTCTTGCCGTTTTAAAAGCGCAGGGCCAGAGAGTCCACTGTCTCCCTCTGGGTTATCTCTGCCGAGAGGGAAAAAAATCAGGAACAGCCCCTTTGTTCCTGAGAGCGGAATAGGGTTTCCATTTGCCGTCCGCCGGAATGCGGGCTTGTGGGCCGGTGGCGCGTAACAGGCGTGTTTGATTATTTTTTAAAACTCTTTACGTACTTTCCTTGTTCCAGCCGATTATTTAGGCTTTGTGCAGCGTTTAGCGTTTAGACAGTTCCTTTACTTGAGAACATCTGTAGGGGATAGGAGAGTGTCCTTTTTTTTTTCACCTTATAGAAAGCTAGATGCTTCTTTGCTCTGTGGTTCAAAACTGGGCAACGGACAGTGACCACCCCTACGAAACCTTTCGTGGAGAAGCGGAAGGGAAAATGTGCTTTGTGAGGATGGGAGCAAAGACTGCCCCAGGCTCTGTGGAATTCATACCAACTTAGCACCAGCTCTTGATCCTCACAGTAGTCCCAGGAGTAGGCAGAGCACGGTCATTGGTGTTTATCAGAACTGGAGCTCTGGGATATAAATAGATAGTTTCAGGCCCTGCTGTTCTATCCTCCCAGCCGGGCCTCCCAGCTGAAACAGAGCTTCTTCAAGGGGGGCCTGCTGCTTGTGCCCATGCCATGCTGTGTTCACATGGGCTCTGTGACTGGGGTTAGAATGTTCTCCAGCACCGGATACTTTGCACCTCCAAACATGCTTTCACTCTTCTCTCAGGGGGCCCTGCAACAACTCTGTGAAGTAGGTCTGTTTTATGGGTGGAAAAAGTGAGGCATAGAGTATTTACCAAAGGTCACAAAGTCACCGAAGCATCACAAGTAAGAGTGTGAAGTAAAAGGTAGAATAATACAGGTAACGACTGGACCACAGAATCCAGTCATGCTTTCGCCCTTCCCTGATGTCACTAAACCATGCTTTTAGGGGCTTAAAAACCAATTCTTGTTGCCTAGCCCACCACTCTGTCCTATCCTTTCATAAATCAGAGCCTAACTTCTGATATCGGAAATAACTTATTTCTGTCAAATGTAGAAGATGAAGCTGTTACCCTGAGTGACCATCATGACAGAACAAAACCACGAGACCAGACCTCATTTATGGATAAATATATTAGCAAATAAATACATTTCTCAACATAGTGCCTGATTCAAGCGTCTTTCTGTCTGGTTCAGATATAAATACCCATGTGGGTGCCTAGGTGCTAGTTCCCCACTGACTTTGAGGGAAGAAGTTTCCCAGGTAGGGTCCTGTGCCCACTTAGCTCCCACATTCACATTCCAAATGGGATAATGCCTGAGGAGCCGGCAACAGTCCAGCTGCCCTGGGGTGAATGTTACCCTCAGGAGGCTCCTCAGCCCTTGCCCACTCGGGTACCAGCTACCTGGGCCAGATGTCCTGCATGCACAATCTCTTGCATGCACACCTTCCTGGGTGCCCCTGGCCTGTATGGCTTATCATGGGAAGCTGGGCCTTGGATTGGAGCCATCTAAACCCAAATGTCCCACTTTGCTTTTCCTGTGTTTTCCCCTCTTCCTCATCCCTGCTCTGAGAGAAAACTCCCAGGGAGGAATTCGTTGTTGTCCTTGTTCAGCTGTAATTCTGTCTTTTCTACCTTCGTTCCATCCTCCCTCTTCTAGATGCAGTCTGGCAGAAATCCTCTTCTTTCCACCTACTTTAGGACTTTGGGTAATCTCCAGGAAAGAATTATTCCCTCCCCACTATCCCCGCCCCCAACCCCCAGAGGAACTGGGGCTGCTGGAGTGACGAGGGAGTTTGAAAGTCGGAGGCTTCATCCCAGGTTCTTCAGGGCGCAGTACCACTTTAGGGACAGAACTCCACACCCTGGCTTCCCAGAGCCTCCCCTCTGACTTAATATAGTGGATCTGACAATTAAGGACAAGAAGGGAAAAACATTCTCCCTTATGCACCAGGGCAGGTACTGCCTGGAGAAGCTGCAGAGCCTCCCTTTTTAGGGCTCAGGGCTCACCTATGTTCCCGATCCTTTTGCAAAGAAGGGAAATGATAAAAGCTGGGGTTGCTGCTGATGCGGCAGCTTTACCGAGGAGTCAAAGCTGGTGTGCAGGACTCACCCAAGAAAGGAGGTAAGAAGGACCCATTAGCAGGTATGCACATGAGACTTGGGATGAGGAAGGCCTGCTGGGCCTGGGGAAAGGAGCAGCACCTTTATAACACCTGTCTACCCATATCTAGCTTCCTGTTCTCAAAAAACAGCCTTTAAGGGAGCCAGCCCACATAGGTAGCAGCTGGTTGCCTGGCTGGACACAGACTTGCCGCCCTGCAGATGCATTCTGCACACAAGGTCCAGAGCTGGGAGCAGGGAACACCTGCCACCCACCATCACCACTCCTCTTCTGGAGGTTCCAGGGAGTCTGGCAAAAAAAGAGGGCTCTTTTCTGAGGTCCTTTCTTCTCTCAGGAGCAGGACTTTGTGCCAGGTAGGGCCCGAGTCATCCGAAGCATGCTCTTAGTTGGAGCTAGGTCTGAGCATCTCACACAGCCTGTTCACACAGCTCCTCAATCTCCTCCTCTGAGCCTGCATTTAGAGAGAGGGGAGGAAAGAGGTCACTGAGGGTCAGGCCAGCCGCCTTCCTGTCCCACCTGCAAGACAGTGTGGCTGGGAGAGAAGCACAGAGAGGGAGGAGCAGGGAATGTGTCCAGAAGGGGCAATTAGACTGAAAGCTGGGAGGGGCCCCAGTTGGGATACAGGGGAGAGAGAAACAAAAAAGCTAAAGAAAGAGAAACATATACAGCAACCAGTGTGTTACAAATACTTACTATTCGCTCATTAACCCAATAAATACTTATTAAGCACTTGTGAATCTGGCCTGTTACCATGTGCCAAATAGAAGAATAAGCAGGGACCTGATTATCTTGTAGGAGAGGTGTGCATGCAAAGGGAAATTATGTAGTGGGACAGGACTGGATCATAAGACCTTTCCTGGAAAGGGGACAGATCATGTTCAAGTGGAGCAATCAGGAAGGGCTTCCTGAAAGCGAAGATAAATGAGCTGGTCCTGCAGAAATAGGTAAGAACTGGATTTATGGGAATAGGAAGGCAGCAGGATCGTCTGGGTTATAGGGACTGCAAGAAGTGTTTACTAGGTTTGGCTAAAGCATGGGGCAGGGGAAGGAAAGGGGAAGAGTAAAAAATAAAGTGGGGGGCGCCTGGGTGGCTTAGTCATTAAGCGTCTGCCTTCGGCTCAGGTCATGATCCCAGGGTCCTGGGATCGAGCCCCACATCGGGCTCTCTGCTCGGCGGGAAGCCTGCTTCTCCCTCTCCCATTCCCCCTGCTTGTGTTCCTGCTCTCGCTGTCTCTCTCTCTGTCAAATAAATAAATAAAATCTTTAAAAAAAAAAAAAAAGATAAAGAAAGTGGGGAAGGAAGGTGGGGGCTAGTTGGTGCTAGAGCTTTGAAGGCCAAACCAGGCTCAGTTTTTCTTTACTGAGGAGAAAACAGAACATGTGGAAATTTCTGGACAGCTTATTTGAGGAAGATGAGCCTGGCAGCAGCAGTCAAGCAGGGTCACTGTACGTGCAGGGCCCCCCTTCATGGCGCTGTAAGAGGGGAGGGAAGAGCTAGGAGGCTCCTGCCTTGATCTTTAGGCTGCATCTAAGACGTGGGCAGGGGCCATCAGTTCTGAAGGAGAAGGTAAAAAAGCTCTCAGGGACAGAGTTAACAGAACCTGGCACCGACTGGATTTGAGGAGCAGGGAAGAGGGAGGCGTCGAAACCAGTTCTAAGTACGGGAGAGGTGGTGGTCTGGCTCCAGCAGCCCTGAAAGCACACATGTGACAGGGTCCGAATGGATCGTCAAACACATGGCCAAAGCTTGCTTTGCATGGCTCCATGGAAGCCATGATTTTCTCTACTGTAACTGTGTACATGCCTCTGACCCCACAGACCTGGATCTCCTGGTTGACAAGTTCCATGTCCTCAGAGCCTAGCCTGGAACCTACCCCATAGCAAGCATCCAATGCAGGAAGAAAAAAGGAGGGAAGGAGTGAATGAATGAATGATAACAGCTCTAGGTCTTGACTGTAGGGTTCCTAGACTGTGAGGCCTTATATTTCAGGACCTTTGGGTTCCCTTTTGGGGTGCCTAGTGATAGCTGTAGGCAAAGAGCTTTGTCGTCCACACCATGGGAGACGATGAGAAAAATGGGGAGGGGTGCTCTGGAGGAGGAAGAGGAGCATTTGAACAAAGAAACACCCAGTTAAAATTGAGGGTTTACATTATCACAATTGGTTGTAATACAATTATCAGGGATGCACTGAGGCCCCAGGAAAATGAGGTTGGTTTTATTAATAACGGTGCTTAGAAGGAAAGCCTTAGTTGTTCTTTTACCCCAGAGGGAGAGGAGAAACCCTAAGGACCCACAGGGATGCTGGGAACCACCCGTGACCTTTTTTTCTTTTCTTTTCTTTTCTTTTTCCTTTTTTCTTTCTTTCTTTCTTTCTTTCTTTCTTTCTTTCTTTCTTTCTTTCTTTCTTTCCTTTCTCTCTCTCTCTTTCTCTCTCTCTCTTCCTTCCTTCCTTCCTTTCTTTCTAATCATTTACATAGCTCTTGTCATATGGCCTAGTGTTATGGAT